GTACACACACACACACACACACACACACACACACACACACACACACACACACACACACACATATATATATATATATATTATTAAATTTGGTAGAGATCCTGATAAGTAATAAAATCAAAACGAGTATACAAACGTCTTATGCTTGGTATTGCTGGTGCACAAAAATAAACTAATAAAAAGGAAAAAAGAAAAAATTTAATTTTATAATAAAAGGTAGGGATCATGTATATATATATGTATAGTAATATAGAAAGTTTTAATGTTACAAAAAAAGTACTGAAACAAGAAAGTCAAATGTACTTTAAAAGGTTTAAATTATTTATCCCTACTTTGCTCTAACATAATTGTGTGATTTGCCAAAGTATACATTTAAAGCAAGCTGGCAGAACAAGATTTCATCTTAGAATCTATAGTTTATCATATTCTAATCTTTAAGGAAATGTACAGAATTTTTTCTTAAAATTGAATTATACTTTTAAAAACTGACCAGTAAACAACCTACTCAGAAACTTGTCAGTTTGAATAATTTATGATTTTACCATAACAACATTCTCTCTCTCTCTGATATTTGTTGACATAGTTTTGCTTTCTTTGTTAAATGAATTGTGAAGGTAAAACATTTCATCTTTTACCATAAAAGTGCACAAAAACTTTAACTACAATCTTTCAATAAATCATTGACTCTGAACATTTATGAAATAATTGATATTTTATGTTCTTTTCTAACATAAGTTTAATTTGTTTAACCTTACAAAATTTGCCTTTAGTATGTTTTTAATGTCCTCTTGTACGGTAACATTAACTTAGCTATAAATTTATTTTTTAAATTGTAATTTTTCTATTTATCTACTTTGTAATAGATGTTTTTAATGGAATGCTTGGTTGTATAGAAGTACTAGTTTTTGACTTGTTTAATGAAACTAGTAAAATTATCTGATCAACAGCCAAGAAGATGGAAGATGTATTTTGCTTTTTAAATGTTTAAGAATATGCTTTTTAAATATATGAATTTAAAAAGGATGTACTTGAGTAAAGAGAATGTTGATATTTTAGAGCAAGAAGTGTGACTTTTGATATATGTTTGAAGTTTCCAACAGTGTGTCTGGACTTGTTGACTAGAATTAACTTGATTGTGGGTTATATCTACATAAATATTGTGAGTTTAGGAATAATGCAGGTATTTTCACTAAAATTATGTAAGTGCATTTTGTAAGTTGTTTTGCAAGTTTTGAAAACTGTTGAAGAATTCTATGATGATTATAAAGATTGTACGATTAGATGTACTTCTGCAGGGTCCATGAAAGTGTTCTATTTCAAGAGTAAATAAAACTAAAATTGAAAGTAACAAATATTTTATTTCTTGATTTTGAAGTTCATGTCATGCTGTGTTGTAGCCTACAGTGTGCATAATTCTTCTCATGAATCTTGGCATGTGCACATTTTACTAACATTATGCCAGTACAAATTGCAATGTTAAGCGTCCCTTTTGTGACATCATTTTAGTGTACTGACTGACTGACTGATAGACAACACACTACTGTATAGTGGTGCAAGTGGTTAAAACAGGTGATCCTTCAAGGGGGCCTTCAGCCCCCTTTCAGGAAAATTATGTAAAAAATAACTCATTATGCTTAACTGACTTGTTGTGTAGGCTAGTAGGTACATGTTTGTGTTAAACAGCTGAAGCTTATAACATTGGCATTTATCAAACACATGGTCATGATTGTTGTTTGTTAACATATTAAGTAATGCTTTGCCTTTTTTTCTTGTCTAGCTTCTCAAAATTATCCACAAAGCAGCAGGCAGGAAGTATTTTTTTTTGGAACAGTCTCCAAATTATTTGATGACCTTGCTTTTATGGAAGTTTTAAAAAACTGAATATACAACAACTACCCATTTTTGAAGTTTTTATAAAATCTGGATTTTCTGTTCTTGGGTAAGTAGAAATACTTAGTGTTTTTTTTAATATTTTGTTAATATATTAAGGAATAAGAATATATAGGTTACAAATTTCAAAATCGCAAATTTTGAAGGGATGCAACAAGAATTATCTGTTGTGAATTGGGCATCTG